TTACTCTGGTGGATAAGCACTGGTCTAGTGTCCTGGACCAGGTGCTAGGAGTCTTAAGAGGTCCTTGAATAATCCTTCTATACAGCCAAGAGTCAGAATCATTATTCTGGCAACTTCTTATTAGCGAGCAACATTGGATGTGTGACTGGTTAGAGAACAGTAAAAGCTAAACTTCATAGCATTGATGTGAAGGAAAAATAGCGAGCCTGTGGTGAAGATCTGGGCAGCCTGCCTACAGTGAGTACCTGATCCTTACAACATAAATTTCACATCAATTTCGTGACCCCATACTCTTTGTTTACTTTCTGATTGTCAGGTATGTTCCAGAAAACTGACATAACCAGGTATATTGTACATATCTGAAAAGTGCCAATCAATTGAGATACTGCTTTGTAGCAAACATAGAAGAGGATATAGATGCTCCTTCTGGATCCCGTCATTCTATAAACAGTGCTAGTCAGTGTATCAGAGGCGCAAGTTCCTAACTAAATATGTTTCCAATGGATTAAAAAAAGGCAGCCCTGTAATTTTATGACATTGATTTTGACACAATCCAAATCAGCAACAGAATTTCATCATTAACTTAATGCTATCTTAGAAGTGCTTTAGATTTCAGGTGGTGATCAGGGAGTTACACATATTCCAACGCAGAAAAATCCCTTTGGCTAGAACAAAGGCGAGTTTCCTTCCCCACTTGGCAGATTGTGCCTGGTGGCCTGGTGATTCCTTCCCCAGCACTCCTCCAGGATCCTCTAGAGAAGGGGAAGCATGAGGGGCATCAGTGAGACAGATGGCATGTCTCCAGGAGCCTCATCTGCACCCCAAGCAGGTGTCTCTGAGTTTGTGACAGCCACTCTTCAACTAAACCACCTCTTCCTCCAACAACTAAATGGCATGTGAATTGTTTCTTTCAACATAAATAGCAGAAATGCTTCTTTGAGATGCTGATAAACTTTAAGATGGAAAGTAAATTACAGAATGGACGTCTTCTCTGGGTCAAGGTGGTACCATCTAATTTTAAAATATGAAAACATTGCTCTAAGCGACTTGGAGTCATTGATACATTCAACACCTACCCTGTGCTGTGCGACACGATGTCCTTAGAAAGACATAAATATGAGTGCTACAAAACACAGACCCTTTTATGACAAAAAAAAAAAAAAGAACAGGCTTTGACCACCCCCACATACCAGAATGACCCCCTGAACAGATTTGACTTGTCAGTTTGTCAGACTAATTTGTCTTTTTTTTTATTGGGTTGATAATGCCTTCTTAACATTAATTAAATCACCTAGTTGTCTTGCCATTGTCTAGATATCAGCTAAGTAGTTATTAACCAGCTCTGGTCCTGGTCTAAATTGTTTCTAAATGTGCTTCTAAAACTTGAGACCATTTAATCAGGCAATAGAGCCTCCCACAAAATTACTCAGGGAAAAGAGATACACTAATGTGTTTAAAAGTCTTATTATCATTGTGCCCACTTGTTTAAAAGAAAGGCATGTGTTTCTGTGTACATAGGAAGTTTTCTGGAAGAACAGACTTAGCAATTAATATCAGTTGTCTTTGGGCAGAGAATTTAGGGACCTTGTTAGGGGGACTCAATTTATGTAAATTCTTACCATCTTAAATATTGTATTTTCAATTTTGGGAGGGGCATTACTAAGGTTTGAATTCAGGGTCTGATGCTTGTTAGTTGCTCTACTATGCCCCCTAGTTTGCAGGTAGGGTCTCAAGGTTTTTGCCCAGGATGGTCTGAACCTCAATCCTCCTATTCATGCCTCCTGTGTACCTGGGATGACAGGCATGCATCATTGTACCCAGCTGTTGGTTGAGATGGGGTCTCACTAACTTTATACTCAGACTCACCTTGAACACCGGTTCTCTGATCTTCACCTTCAAAGTAGCCAGAATTACTGCATATATATATATAATTTTAATGTGTTTCATTATGGCATTTTCATACATGTATAATATATTTCAATAATATTCCCTCCCACATCAGACTATCCTCCCCCGCAAAAAAGTTCCTTTTATATTCATGTCATTTTTATGTCTAGATTCTGTATATGAGAGAAAATAAGCAATATTTGTCATTCTAAGTCTGGCTTATTTCTTTTAATGATCTCTGTTTCATTCATTTTCCTGCAAATGACATACTTTTATTCTTTATGGCTGAATAATACTCCATTGTGCATATATACCACATTTTCTTTATCTGTTCCTCAGCTGATGGACACCTAGGTTCATCCCACCCCTTAGCTATTGAGAACAGTGCTGCAACAGACATGGGTGTGCAGGTGTCTCTGTTGTAAGAAGCATCATTTTCTTTTCCCTCACTGTTGGATGTGTGAGTTGGGACATCCATCCATGTGGATTTCACAATCCTCCTCATCTCTGGGGAGAGCTGGCAGTAACAGCTGAGCTATTCCAAAGCACATCCTGCAACAGTTCTATACATTCTAATTGCATCTCTGCAGTCTTTAATGGAAAGTTAAAATTCTGGCCCAAAATACTAAACTCTTATTTTATAAAAGTCATTTTCAACTTTTCTTGTCTTTCTAGGGGTGATTCATCCCAGAAGTAGCACCTTGCATCTTTACACCACAGGCATTAATAACCAGCAGTCATCAATGGTATAACTAGTTGTTAACTTCATGAAACTGTCAGAGTTTAGGGCAGTGTTTCTGTAAAGTGCCCTGTGGCTTTTCTCAGACAAAACTTTCTGCAGAAGTTTTTAGAAGACCCCAATTGAGACTGACCATAGTGAGATGAGGAGGAGATCAGAGGCAAGAGAAGACGGTGGGGAAGGGTTCTTTTTGAAAACTATTTGAAGAAAAAGGAATTTATTTGTTTGTTTTTATTATTATTGTACTGGGGGTACATTGTAACATTTACAAAAGTGCTTATAATACATCATAGTTGAATTCCCCCCCTCCATCATTTTCCTTTATCTCCCCCCCCCAAATTCCTGGAGTAGTTTCGACAGGTCTCATTTTTCTGTTTTCATACATGAGTACCTAATATTCCCACCATATTCACCCTCCTACACCCTTTCCTCCCCCTCCCACTAGTACCAACCTCCCAGATGGGACCTGTTGTACTTTCCTGTTCTCCAGTTTTGTTTGTTTAAGATAACTCTACAGGGAGTTTCATCATGACATCTCCATGCATGTGTGTTATATACATACACAAATTAGTTCATCCCCTGTTTTTCTCCTTTCTACCTTAGTTCCCTTCTTATGGTGATTTCAGCAAATTTTAGAATTTGATATTCATTCTTGTATAGAAAGTACATCACCCATATTCACCTTCTTAACTTCCTTCTTAAGAAAGAGGAATTTGTTGGAAAGCTAAAGAGATACAGCCTCAGAACTTCACCATGTGTCTTATCTACAGTAATAGAGTTGTAGAGATCCTGTGCTGTGAAATTCCCCAAATGGGTAAGATCGTGATGTATCTGTGGGTTACTGGCTTCCCAGTCCTCATGCCAATGACTGTGATGACCAGGAAACTGAACCTCACACTGTCTTTCAGAAATTCAAAGTTTATCTTAGAGTAACTGTGGCAAAAAGTACATTGTAAAATAAAAAAAGAAGAAAGGCAACATTTTCAAGTTAGTAAGTTAATGTTTGTTTCCTAGTGAATGGAGTAAGTTTAAATGCTGAGTCACCAAGCAAACATAGAAAGGAAACCCATGCTGGTTTTATTCTTTAAAAGGCACCATACATCCAGCAGGGACTTCCATCCTACCTTAGGGAACTAAGCTGCTATTTAAACCCATGCTCCTGGTATAATATACCCAATTAGATAAATACCAGTGAGTCACAGGAACTACTCCCTACCTGTGCCTACCTTGCCTTGGAACCAAGATTTTAGATTGTCAGTATGGAAGGATAGATTTACCTCTAAAGAGACCACAGTAACCACGGTTCTGGATGATAAGAAATTTGAAGATGAATAGAGAAAAGTCACTTGTGATACATCTCTGAATAGAGTCAGCCCTCAAGTGCAGAGGAAAGGTTACCTCAGGTGTTGACCAGCTGGTAAAAATCAGCATGCCCAATGTCACTCCATTCTTCCAGTGTTATAACCTCACGTTTATAGTTTTGTCTCTATATAATCTTCCAATGTCACTAGTTTGAAATGACTTGCTTTACTCATGGTTTAGAGAGATTTGATAGATTACACAGTCTGCTTCTCAGTTAGTAGTTACCCCAAACTTGAGCCATCCTTTGAAAAGCAGGCAGCAGGATGACTTCATATGACAGCAAAAGTTTGTCTCTTCTGTGATTATTTTATATTACATATACTACATAAGATATACAATATATATGTAGCATAACTTATAATGTAATATCATGTATATTCTGAATGAAATATATTCTATGTTATAATACAGAACATTTTTTCCAATAATATGCAGTTGGCATCCTTAATAACATGAAGAATTATAAATGTAACATTATACTTTCTGTATTTTTCCAGACTGAAAATTGCTTTAAAAATAAAGACAAGGCAGGCACAATGGCTCAAACCTGTAATCCTACCTACTCAGGAGGCAAAGATCAGGAGGATCACAGTTTGAGGCCAGCTCAGACAAAAAGTTCTTGAGACCCCATCTCAGCCAACACTGGGCATGGTGGTACACACCTGTCATCCAGCTATGGTGGGAAGCATAAAATAGGAGGATCACGGTCCAGGCTGGCCTGGGCAAAAAACAAGACTGTATCTCAAAAATCACCAACACAAAAAAGGGCTGGGTGAGTGATTCAAGTGGTAGAGCGCCTGCCTAGCAAGTGTGAAGCCCCGAGTTCAAACCCAGCACCACTGAAAGAGAAAGAAACAAAAAAAATAAGGCCCATAAAACTCTACTACCACCATGCTAGTTGGAAGCACAAAAGAGTAACATGTAGAAGTTGGGCGTGTCACTAGAAGTACAAGTGACCGACCATGTGTTCCCCACCAGCCTTGCCATTTCTCATCACCTTGTCTCTTTCCAGCTGCTGGCCGGACGCTGGCCTTTTGACCACAGTGACTTTGGAGTATTCCTCTGCAAGCTCTTCCCCTTTTTGCAGAAGTCCTCAGTGGGGATCACCGTCCTCAACCTCTGTGCCCTTAGCGTTGACAGGTAATATTTTTTTTTCCTTTCGTTGAATTTAGAAAAGCATTTTTCTCAAAAAGAAAAGCCAACAGTTGGTGCCAGAATGGTTGTTAAGTAACTCCACATGAATGAAAGACAGCAAGCTTGCCTCTTCTGCTTAGATTTGCTTCACACGGTTTCTGTTTACTATCCTGTCCCTCTAGGGTTCAGGAAATGCTCACCAAGAGTATCTGGCCAATTATGTGCAATTGGCATCCTTAAAAATATTAACATGAAATATTAGATGGCATAAACTTTGTGAAAAGGAGATCCTGGACCAAGCATTTTAAACTGGTAATTTCATTATTAGGAAAATGGAAACACTATTCAGTTAGATTAGTAATGCTGGAGCTAAGCAATAAATAGTATTGTTACATTCTTCTGCATGCCTTTTTTGGAGGACTGGGGTTTGAACTCAGAGCTTTGCCCTTGCAAAGCAAGGTTCTCTACCACTTGAACCAATACTACCAGTCCATTTTGCTCTGGTTATTTTAAAGATAGGGTCTCATAAACTATCTGACCTGGTTGATCTCGAACTAAGATCCTCCCTAGCTCAGCCTCCCAAGTAGCTAGGATGTCAGGCATGAGCCTCCAGTGCCCAGTTGTCCATGCTTTTTCGAATACCTAAAACATTTCATAATTTATAAGAGGGCGATAAGAGAAGTAACCCTTTTATCCAATTCTGAAAAGTTCATTGAGTACCTCTGAGTCTTTCCAGAATCCTCACAAACGGCTGTCAGTTCTACAAAAGGCTTTTCTGAGTGCTGTGAAATTCTAATGGTATTTCCTTCATTTTCTAATTTTCACAGTGGTAATTATTATAAAGAATGAAGTAGCGACTTTATAACACATTCTTTGTGCTCTTTTATATTTTATGTAATGTTACGCAATTGGCCTGCAGTATCGTATTTAATTGGCTTACATACAGTTCAGAAAGGCTTTCAATTGTTCTACTTCATCATTCCCTGATGATCACTGTCTCAAAAAACCTGTGTCTTGTCACTTCAGAAATCAAAAGCCACCCTCTCTTAAAGAACATCTAGGGGGGAGGGCCATGTTAAATAAAGTCTTATCTGGTATTCTATATTAATAATATTTATAATTATCATTTATTGAATATTAGTGAGTAGCAGGCATGTTCTAAATATTTTACAGAAATTATATTATTTAACTGTGATGTGTGCTATAATTACCCCACTTTACACATAGGGAAGCTGAGTGTGGAAAAGGTTAACCAAGCCACATAACCACTGAGCAATGGAGTCAGCACTCAAGTGTAGATGGTCTCCATACTGAGCCACTACGCTTAGGCATGTGAAAACTTAAGCCACAAAGCAATAGAAGAAAATAAACTAATTATCTTTATGATCTCTGGAAAAGAAAGACTTTACTTAAAAGGAATGGTAGAAATTGTAAAGTTCAGGTCAAATATCCTTAAAATTACAAAGACAAATGGCTAGAGCAATAAGCTGGAGAAAGAAGTTGTCACTCCCAGCACAGGCCCAGGGCTAGCTTCTCCCACACTCTCCTAGGGCCCCTCTCTCTTCCCTGGGGACTCTCCAGGACCTTCTTGCTGAGCTCCAACCAGCCCCAGAGTATGGGGAGGGGCAGCTCAGGTCAACTCTCCCTCTCCTCCTCCTTTCACCTTCTCATTCATGAAAAAAAAATAATAAACTACATACTCCATCACTTCCAGCGGTTATGTACCAAATGAAATGTGAGTCATTTTTGTTCAGAAAAAGAAAAAAATAATGTCAAAAATTATTTCATTAGGATTTAGTCTGACTTTTAGACCAAGGAGATGAACCATTTTAAAATTCCATTCCTACAAAAACAACCTTAATCCAGGAGATTTTTCCTTAGTATAAGAATGGGTCCATTCTTCACTTCTTGTTACATCTCTTTTGGTATTGAGTCTAAGCTTCAGGACTGTATGTAGGGAATCCATTTGGTGTTCTATTTAAAAAACTCTCACACTAGAAGATGAATCTTTCACACTTAAGTCCTGCAGATAAGAGTTTTGCGTATCTTTGAGTTATCATACATCTGCTTTGAGTTATCATACATCTAAGTTCTGTTGAATTGCTTTATTACTTCATTACTCACCCAGTAATTACAGAATACTGTAAGATCAAAGAAAAGGCCCAGCTTTTTCTCCATCAGCCTTTAATTGAGAGAGATAAACAATACAAGGAGAGAGAGCACATGATTTGCACCAGAATGAATGAGCTTTCATTGTTCAAATATGGATTGTCTCAATTTAATCTTTTTTACTAATTCCTCCTCAAACTTTTGTTTATTTATCTTTAGTTTTACATCCTGACTCTCTTATGAAAAAGATAAAGCAGGAATTTCAGAAAAAGGGTGACAAAATTTAGGAACAAATTTTGAACTCCATCTAGCTTTATCAGTAAGATAAATTTTGAATGCTAAGGCAGTCTAGTTTTAAAATGAACTCTTCCCAATAAAATATGAATAATCAGCTATTACCAACAATTAAAATAGGTTTTCCTGCATGCCATAAAAGGCCAATTTAAATGTTACTTTGAGTTTGTTTGGAAGAGAGGAGGAACAGAAGAAAGGGGATTCAATGCTGTTCTTTGTGAAGTTAACAGTCCTGTTTAAAGTAGGAAATGATGATGGGTCAGGCCAGAAACAAGCCTGGGTACAGATCCAACTTGTAGTTAAAAGATGTCTGGGGAAAGAAGCTATAAAAAGATAAAACTCTTTTAACAACTCTTCCAGATGATGTATAATTAGATACCTGAAAGTTGCAAGGACCCATTAACAAGGCAGCTTTGTTTCATAAGCGTCAAACTCAGCTGCACTCAGTGCTTCAACCCCTCATTTCAAATGATTGCTCAGTGGTCTCTGTGCTCTTCTCAAAGGATTGTCCTAATTCAGGAAGCACGGGGGTGATTTTCTGAAAACCTTCCCTTTTATTTAAACTTGGACTTGGTTTCTCCTTATTCTCCTGCTGTTGTGATTTTCTGTTGCTGTATAACAAGCATGAAGAGATATAGAGCCAGACAAAAGGAGATGGCAAGGGCAGATCAGGGTCTCACTGTGGATGTGTTCCCTGGTGCACAGACATGCTCATATCTTATTCTACTGTCAACATCAGGCACTTGGTTAGTTTTACTACCTCACTCCTTTCTGATAACAAACTACCCCAAACTTAGCAGTTTAAAACAACCATTTTATCATATCTCCCCATGTCAGGAATTTGGGCAATTCTTCTGTTTTTGTCACTTGGATTAGGGTCACTGGTGGATTTCAGCTGGCACTGAGCATGTCTTTTGGGCCCACAAGTCACATGTTGGCACCTTGTCAGGGGACAGCTAGAAGTCTGAGCTTGGTATGTTCATCTCCCTCTGCATATTGTCACAGGGCCTCTCAACATTCTGCCCCAGCAGGCTCAGGGCTGCAGTGTGGAATCCGCCACTTCTGTCGTAGGCCAGCCCTGTGACTTAAGCAGACACGGCCAGTCCAATTTAAGAGCTCAGTGGAAGCTGGGCACTAGTGGCTCTTACCTGTAATCCTATCTACTTGGGAGGCACAGATCAGGAGGATCACAATTTGAGGCCAACCCAGGCAAATAGTTCACAAGAACCTCTCTCAAAAATTCCCAACACCAAAAAAGTGACTGACACAGTGGCTCAAGTGGTAAGAGCACCTGCCTAGCAAGTGAGAGGCTCTGAGTTCAAACCCCAGGACTGCAAAGAGCTCAGCAAGAAGCGTTAAAACATTTGCAGCTGTCTTTTAACTCAGTTCACCTGATTTCTCCAGATTCTTTTTGCTGGTATTTTGCCTCCAAGCCTCTGTATGGTGATTGGTATGTCTATTGCATAAGCAATATAAATCATAAACAACCATCACAAATGCTCACTTGCTATTAATTAAAGATGGGCAGAAGTACCACTTTATGGATGTAGCAAAATTGAAGAAAATCTAATAAATTCCAATGCAGGCAGGCACTTATCAACAGCCACTCATTAGAAACTTCTTAAGATATCCGAGCCAGGCATGGTGATGCATGCTTATAATCCCAGCACTTGGGGGACTGATGCAGGAAGATTTCAAGTTTGAGATCAGCTTGGGAAACAGTGAGACCTTGTCTTAAAAAAAAAAAAAAAGAAGGTACTTGAGCTACTTTCTCATTCCCTTGATCCAGCAATCCCACTCAAGATAATTCATCTGGGAAAATCATTCAGAAAAAGAAAATAATCTATATGTACAGCATTGAGTTATTCACAACACGAAATATGAGAAGTGGCACAAAGTCAAGAGAAAGATAGGCAAATGGTATCACTGTCTTGTTTTCTTGTGTAGTCATTAAATTGATAAGTGCCTATGTAGCAACATGGGAGAGGTTTTCTCACATAAACAGCAAAAAATAAAATTGTAACTATATGATTGGAATGTATATTTAAACTGCCTATGAGAATAGCAATGGGCAAAGAATAAGAAAAAATAAAGATTTGGAATTGATAGCATTTGAATTCAGTTTTATTTTATAATGTTTTTAAATTTGTTCAATCTTTTTGTGTGTGTGTGTGGTACTGGGGTTTGAACTCAGAACCTACACCTTGAGCCACTCCACCAGCCCTATACTTTTTTCAAGATAGGGTTTGCAATCTGTTTCCCTGGGCTGGCTTCGAACTGCAATCCTCCTGATCTCTACCTCCTGAGCAGCTGAGTAGCTAGGATTACAGGTATGAGCCACTTTTTTTTTTTTTCAGTATTGGAGTTTGAACCCAGGGCCTTCGTACTTGCTAGGCAGGTGCTCTACCACTTGAGCCATTCTCCTACCCAAGTTTGTACAGTCATAAACGATATTAAATGCTATGACTATCCCAGTCTCTACCTTCAAGATTGGATAAACATGCATGAACTGCCTGTGAAAATCTACTTGTAGACACACATAGTGACAAACATCTTTATATAAATAAAATGTAATTTATCCTTTTATTCTGTCACGTCACATGACAGGGTACAACATGATATAATGCCAAAAGACTCCCCAGGGAATCAGCAGACCAGAGCCCTGGCCAGATTCCCTGTGCTCACTAAGCAGACACTAAGCAGAGGGTGTGGCAACAGCCCAGCCCTCATGTTCCTGGTTCTCAGGTTCCCACCAGGGCAAGGAAGATTAGCCAGAAGGTCCCTCCTTGTTTTTAAATGAATTGATTCTGGGTAAAAAGTATTCACTTTTTATCTGTTACCTAATTCAGGCCTAGCTTTGAAAATAGGCAGACGTTCGGAGTGCAAAATGCTACTGGCTGTGGCCAATACAGACAAAAGCATGGTAAGGAAACAGCTATAACCATGACAAAAAAAACACTTCATTCAGCAGATAGTCACTGCCTTATGGAGCTTATCCTCTAAAAGGAGGAGTGGGCATCTATTAATAAACAATAAGAAAGAAAACATTTGGGCCAAGCACAGTGGTCCATGCCTACTAATTCTAGCCATTCAGAAGGCAGAGATTTGGAGGATCACAGTTCGAGACCAATTCAGGTAAAAAAGATCACAACACCCCATCTCAATCAATAAGCCAGGCATGGTGGTGTGTGCTTGTCATCCTAGCTACAGGGGAGTTTGTAAGTAATATGATCAGAGTCATGCTGGCTGGGACATAAACATGAGAACCTATTTGAAAATAACAAAAGCAAAAAGGGCTAGGGTTGTGGCTCAAGTGGTAGAGCACTTGTCTAGCAAGTGCAAGGCCCTGAGTTCAAACCCTAGTTATCACCAAAAACACACACACACACAGAGGAAAGAAAGAAGGAAGGGAAGGAAGAAGAAAACATTTGGTCGGTCACATGGTAGTCAGTGCTATGGAGAAAAAATAAATCAGGGAGAACAGGACAGGGTAATTCTTGAAGAGGGGGTTGGAAATTTCAAGTAGGGTGCCCAAAAAAGAATTCATAAAAAAAGATACAATTGAGTGAACTGAAGGAAGAGAGGAAGTAATTCTGAGAATACCTTGTGGTTATTCTCACAGGGGTGGGAAATCATTGCGGTAGAAGGGAGGTTGAGCACAGGGTGCCCTAATTTGACTTAACAGGCTCACTCCTACTGCTGTGTTTTAGATAGGCTATGATGAGGCAAGGTGGGTACATGGAGACCAGTGAGGAAGCAGTTGCAATAATCCAGGCAGGATGAGAGCAGGTGAGGTTGTGAGATGCTGCAAGATTTGCAGAAGGATTGGATGTGTGGGGGAAGAGAGGTGAAGGCTAACACCAACGTTTGAGGTCTTCTGTGGTGAAGACAGAGAATGGACAAGTTGGGGTCAAGGTCTGGTTCAGGTATATGGAATACCCAAAAGATGTCCCAGTGGAGCTCCCAAGTTGGCAATGGGATATAAAAGTCTAGACTTAGAAGCAAAGTTCCAGGCTGGAGTTATAAACTTGGGAATTATCAGCATTTAGATAGTTTAAATCACACGAAACCCTTCAGACTGTATAGGACCAAGAGAGGGTAGATAGAAAGGAGAGGACAGGCGATCCATTGCTGAGAACTGGAAATAGGGCAGGGCCCAGCAGGGAAATGAGAAAGAGCAATGGGGTCTAAGGGAGGATGAAACCAGGAGAATGTGGTAGAAGCAAATGAATAAACCATTTCATAGTAGAAGGATTGCTTCTGGAATACAGTTGACAGTGATAGGCTCCACACTTGCAGATTTTCTATGACAAATAAAGATGCCAGACATATTCTGCCCCAAATTAAGGGCTATTTACAATCATACCTAGTAAGAAGAGCGTGTGTGTGTGTGTGTGTGTGTGTGTGTGTGTGTGTGTATAACACACGTCCAAATAAAAGTCAGTTTGAGGACCTCTAGGATTCATCTTTTCCACACTTTGTCCATGTCTATCTCTCATATTTCTAATTGTTCTTCTTATCTCATAAAAGTGTTATCAACATGAGTATAATCACAGATAGAAAGTATTGTAACTCCATATGAGTTAATAAAGGGTCATAGTGATTATGAGTCATTTAGTAGACACTAAAATTACTTTTACACAAATAAAAATAATGAATTCTCATTAGATCATGGGTGCATTGTATGTTCTAATCACTGTGACAAAATACCTGAGATGATAATCTTATAAGGAGGAAAGGTTTATTATGATTCTCAGTTTTGGAGGTTTCTGTTCATGGTCATTTGGTCTTGGGGCCTGTGGTGAGGCAATGCATTTTGGTGGGAGTGTGTGATGCACAAAACCACTCACCTCATGGCAGTGGGGAATTAAAGAGAGAGAGAGAGAGAGGTGACCAGCATCCCACAATTCTCTTCCAAGGCATATCTCTAATGACCTAACTTCCTCCCACTAGACCCCACCTCTTGAAGGTTCCACCACCTCCTAATAGGGCACTGGCTTATGACTAATTCTTTGGGAGATACTTATCCAAACCATAGCAGTGTGTAATACTCTGGGAATTCATAGCACATTATAAAATGAAGTTGATTTGTGAATATATTCATCATAGAACACATTTGCTACATTTTCTTACTTAAACCACCTTCCACTCCAAATCCCAGCTAAGAAACCTGGCTTTCTTGCTTTCTGATGAGGTATGGTGCTTTATTTAAATCACCAAATTGAGCTTAAGGAAGGGAGAAAGTAAGTACCAGAAAGTAACAGATGTAACTCAACTGACAGTCTTGGGATATAGACATCCCGTCTCCATTCCTTTTAGTTTTTCCTGGACATCAGGCTGCCAGTTCAATAAGGCAACAAAGAAAAGTCAACAGAAATGGAAATCAAAATCAACAGCACTCTTTATCTCACCGGAAATAACCATAAATTTTTAATGTAATCTAGACTTACATCATAAAAGGATTTTCTTGGTCTGTTTATATAGTTGTATTTTATTCCATTCTGTGCCAATCTGGTCTCTTTGTAGAGTTTTTTTGTTGTACACAATCTTATTTATCTGAAAAATGTCTTGCAAAACTTTTCTCCAGTAAATCAAGTTGTATATATGGCATGTGGCATCATTATAAAATATCTAAATCTATAGGTTCTAATCTGAAGCAATTCTGATGAGGAATTAAGCATCATAATTCCAAAGTGTGTCTTCACAGATATACTGTATAGACATACTGAGACAGCACACTAAACATAAATGATAGGCGTTCATCTTGGTGCTATGGGTAGCTTATATGTTGCCCTGGTTTTATTGATTAATCTTCTACAGTAAGTTGCATGTTCTGCAAACCCAAGTGTACCTGTCTCTAATGCTTTGGTCTGTTTTACAGCCTTCTTCTGGCAATATCTAATGAAAGCTATAAAAAGAAAATGTTTCCTTTCCATTACAACAGCAACAAAAATTTCAAGAATGAAGCCACAAAAATACCATGCCATGTCCAGGTCTTTTCTTAATAGTAAGTCTGAAAGCCATTAGCATCAGACCATCACGTCAGGTCAAAGAGCAGAGTTTCTAAACCAGATTTCCTTTAGATTTATCATTTAAACGTGATTGTCATAAAAAGATTGAATTAGAAAATAAAGCAAGCATAATTTCTTCATGCCAGAGAATTTTTTGCTTAGCATAATTATTCAGTTACGTCTACATCCTATACTCCTCTATATGAATCTTTTTTTCTGTTAGATTATAAACCCTAATGATGAGGAATCAAGGTATTTTAAACTCAGTTTTATATATGTTAGCACAGGACTGTAATGAGAGATACATAATTTTCCTTTGACATCTATCAGAAATATTTATTTACTAAAACTTCCTCTTGATACAAGTGCACTGTGGCCATATTTTGTGGGTAGAAGAAAGGAAGAGAACAGTAGAATATCTGTGGTCACTGTTCACTCAGGGGTATATAGTACCACTTCATACATAGTTTCAGCTTTTCTTTTTAATATGTGAAGAGGAACAAGTATTAATACTTTATTACTATAAAAGGTACTAGTAGTTTCAATATTCTACCCATTATCCAAATTTCCCCAACTTAAAACACCCAGGCATGCCTATCTGTTGTCACAATCTAGAGACTGCACTAGACTTCAAGTACAGATGCCAGACACAGGCCTGCCAGGCCATCACTTTCCAAATGAGTGGAACTCTTAAATGGCACCATGGAATTTTCACACCAAGACCCACTGAAAATTCCTAAAATGCTAAAAATTGGTCATTGACCAAGACGAGGAGCTTTCCAGAATTTATAATTTGTGTTTAGTCAAAATAAATGTAAACTATCCTAACAACTTGATTGGTCAACCCACATTTTCTTTCTTCCTTGTCTTTTTCTCCAGGTACAGAGCAGTTGCCTCCTGGAGTCGTGTTCAAGGAATTGGGATTCCCTTGATCACTGCCATTGAAATTGTCTCCATCTGGATCCTTTCCTTCATCCTGGCCATCCCTGAAGCAATTGGCTTCGTCATGGTGCCCTTTGAATACAGGGGTGAACAGCACAAAACCTGTATGCTCAATGCCACCTCAAAGTTCATGGAGGTACCGAGGATTTTTACAATTCACCCAATTTACTAAACTTAAAACTTTTTTTAAAATGTAAAACTTTATCAAAGCTTAAAAGGAATTAACTGGGGAGAAGAGGAGGTCCTTCCTCCTCCACCATCTTAAAACTCACTGACGTTTCCACAATGTAGGGTGTGCTGTACTCTCAGTTCAATCGGACATTCTTCAGTTGCATGAATAGGAGATGGTAAGGCAGTGGTTAGCATCTTTAATAGAACAACCGTTGTGCTTCCCTTTCTCATATTTCTCAACAACTGTTGTCCTGCACCAAACAACCAAGATTTGTAAAGCTAATGTACTAAGAAAGAGACACTAAGTATCTATATACATAATGCTGTGTCTTTTTATAACAAGATGCAGCTGACAGATGACTTGGGGAAAGGCACCTTGCTTTCTGGCATTTCTTAAAGATAGGTTTACTAATTCAAAGTGCAGATAGTCCTTACTTGTACTTATATTTACATGGAGTCTAGGTCTGATATGCAAATAATATAAAATTACAAAACTTCTTCAAAGAGTATTTTGGTTTAAAAAATTAAATTACTCCTCAGTGCACCTGACCACATCTGTGTTTCTCTTGAAAGCTTAAGCACATGCCTGAGTGTCTTGGGAAACATGTTTACAATGCGTATTTCCTTTGCAAAACTAGTTACATATGGACAGAGGAGGAGAAACAAAAGGATAGTGAAGGCTCTTAAATCAGCCTGATTTAGTGCTTTGATGTAAGCATCTTGCAGCTCAGATTCCACATTTAATCATTTACAGACATCTCAAGGTATGCATTCCTAAACTGGAAAATTCACCAAATTTGTGGTTTTGCAGTTCATCGGTTACCCAGCTTGGAAATTCTTCTTTTAAAATGAAAAGTGTTCGTGAAAATTGCCAAACTGGCAACCTTAAAATTGAAGTCTTGTATTTTATTTATCTGTTGACTTTCAAATTAGGTCAGTCTTCACAATGAAAAACAATCCAGTGAGAGGTTATCAGAATTTGGGCAGGGTGGCCAAGCAGTCTATTCCAGAAGCTCAAGACAAGAAAGTACCTGCTAATCACTGGTGCTGGACAAAATGAAATGGATTACTTCACCCATCCTAGGTCCCCTGTGCAAGTCTTCAGAGGGTGGTCCCCTGTGCAAGTAGGCTTGCGGTAAAGGGTGTGGGCCGAACTCATCCCATCCCAGAGTTCGTGCCACGTCTAAAACCGTCCTTTTTTCAAACTTTATTTTATTTCCCCTCTTTCATTCATTCTTTCCTTCTCAACTTTGCTCTACCCTAGACAGAACTGAGGCCTTCTCCCATCCCTTGCTGATGACATCAGTTTAAAGGAAATGTATGACCCCCTTCCTCAATAGTCTCTGCCATGGAGGGGGCAGGGACTCCATCCATCTGTCTCAGGGGTCACCTTCAGACTCTTTGCAGCTGCCCCTGGGTCATTCACACCCAGCCAGCAATGCACAGGGAGGGAAAGGGGGTGTCAGCAATGCACAGGGAGGGAAAGGGGGTGCACAGCTCACAGGGGGTGTCTGTGCTGCACTTCAAAACAAAAAGACACAGTTCTGATTATTTTTTAAAGTTCAAGCCTGAAATCCTGCAGTGTGGTAAGGATAGGGAAATATCTATACAAGCAGATTTGAATAAAGTAACTCCTTTGAGAATTCGCACTTACCCCGAGAATGGAATTCAGGGATCTGACAGCTTGGATGGGAAAGAAATTCTGTTTGTTTGCACGAACCTCTAACTGAAGTTTATCGTGTCCTTTCAGTGTGAATGTAGGCAACAAACCACAATGGCATTTAAGAATACCATGAGTTTTTTCACTGATAGAAATACACTGTGTAATCTTGAAACATTCATGGTCATCACTAAGTCAACATTCTGGTAGTTATTGGAGCCACTGTTAGGTTTGTTGTTTAATTTGATAAATATACATCACTGTGACAGAATTTTAGTTTTGATATTTTGATAGCTATGTTTCAATGTGATTGGTTTCCATTGTAATTATATATATTTTATGCATATAAAAATATTCTTAGAAGGGATTATAGTGTTCACCAGACTTTCAAAGGGGTCTGTGACATAAAAACAGCTGAGAACCTCTGTTGAACGTTTTGTCATCAGGAGTCATTTTTGGCTTATTTTAATAGACATATTGTAAATGAACCCCACTGAGCTCCTCGCTATACTCAGAAACTGTCCTGTTTTTCACAGAGCAGCAAGATCAGTTTTTACTGTGGGAACTGAGATATTACAGGAGCCCACATTACCCTTCACAAATAAACAATCTGGAGAAATGTTACAAGGAAGGAAAAAGCATTTCTTCAAAAGTCAGTGATTAATTTAGTGGGAAGAAGCCTTAGGATATCGTTGTCCAACTTTCATTTTTATAGGGTATTAAGTTTTCTTCTTTAAAAAGAAATAAAACTGAATGATCTTGATATTTACACATCCTCGCCCACAGAGAGATAATGCTAAGTCAGCCTGCAGATAAGGAATGCAGCCTCAATAGTTTCCAGGTGGCAAGTATTAAAAGCGGGAGAGAGGAGAGTTATTGATGGCTCAATCTGGCTGGCTTTGGGGTCACATAGCAGGCATACCAGGCAACGGGTTAACTCCTGTTAACCACAGCTACACAGATAAGCCATTCAGACCCTCACTGTTCCCAAACAAGATACTCACCCTGACGCCAATAAGCAAAAGTCAACAGGGCTCTAACAAAATTTTGAGGCTCACCAATAAATAAAGATTAGCATGTCTCAAATCATGTTTTAGGGGCTTCAGAAAGGAATTCTTTTTATCGATTGGGGCTCTACTATTGTGTAACTGAAATCAACTTCACGCTTATAACTTGTCAGGATAAGTTTTGAATATGCAGTTTCTTCACATGTTATTATAAAGCTAAGATAATTTCTGCAGTTTCAAAAACTTGAGTTTTGAGCAAACCCCAAGCCTTTTGCTATTAGCACAGAGCATGAATATGCAAATATATCTGTAAGTACAAAGATTCTGAAGCAGCCAGAGACACTGCACAGTTAATTTATATTACTGTGTCCCTTCTGTTCGCCCCCTTTTCTTCACTGGCCAGTTCTACCAAGATGTAAAGGACTGGTGGCTCTTTGGCTTCTATTTCTGCATGCCCTTGGTATGCACTGCGATCTTCTACACCCTGATGACATGTGAGATGCTGAACAGAAGGAACGGCAGCCTGAGAATTGCCCTCAGTGAACATCTCAAACAGGTAACCCTACTAAGATCACGGAAACTTGGCCACAACTGTCCTTCGATTCATCAGGCCTACATGTATAGTCACTCACTTCTTCAATTTCATTTCAGTCAATGTCAGACCACATATACGACAGTGGTTCCATCAAATTATCGTGGAACTGAACCTTCTTATCGCCTAGTATTTTTACTGTACCCTTTCTCTGATTAGATATGTTTAGATGTATAAACACCATTGTGTTACAATTGCCTGCAGTACTGGGGATGGAACATGCTATACAAAGTGTAGCCTAGGAGCAATAGATACACCATGCAGTGTATGTGTGTAGTAGGCAATACCACCCATTCTATGTAAGTACACTCCATCATTTTGGCACAGTGACAAAATTGCCTCACTACACATCTCTTACAATAGATCATGACCACACTGTATGTAGCAGATTTAGCCTGGTTTCCTAAAGATAAAAATACTGTCTTGTAACTGTTTTCTTTATAGTTGCAGTGTTGGGAATTTCTTTTGTGAAATGGGGTGCTTGCCTGTGAAACAGATGTCTCCAGAGGCTGGGCACAAAGAGAGAAGAACTATTCAGCTATTTTTGCCAAGAGTGTATTTAACATGTGTGTATTGGTGTCTCTACATTGAACTGGGCTTGGGACTATGCCAGGACAGAATGAAGCATATGAAGTTCTTTCTTTGCAGGCCTTACAGGCTACTTGTACAAATAAAATACAAGCACAACGCAAATAGAAAATAGAATGGACGTGCGGTCCCAGGAGCCTGAACAATATAGAAAGTCAGGGAGTATATGAGAAGGACTTTTAGAGAAACTGTTTGTGAATGAGGGGTATTAAATCAGGCCTTGTAGGATAAGTGATATGTGATGGTGAAGAAAAGGACAAAGGATATTTCAGTTGGAAGGACAAGATTCTTCCAAACAAAGAGACATGGAAGGGACAACATGTATTTGGCAAATGGAAAAAAGGAAAGATGAATTTCATTAAATCAACATCTAATAGGCAATGGAATTGGATAATCTGAAGAGGTAAAATTTTGGAGAGCCCAGAATTTTAGAAGGAATTTAAACATGTCGGTGGGTAGCTAAGGATGGATCTTCCTAGGCAGCAAATAGAATAGATAAGCTTTGAACTTTAAAAAACACAACTTGATTCTTATACTTCTTGTATGAGATGTGTGACTTTGAGCAAATATCTTACCCCTCAGAGTGTCTAGTGTCTCATGTGACATGTGTAAAAAAATATTATGGGGATTGCCTAAGGCATATAAGGTGCCTAGTAGTACCCAGCTTCTAGGAGGCACTCAGGAAATGTTAATGTAAATTAATTCAAAGAATAAGACTAGGTCTGCAGGTCAGTTTTCAGTCACAGTAGAGAACGACATAAGAACATTCAACCACACTAAAAGTTAACGTGAGTTGTTGTTGGAGTCTCTAAGTCTATGTAATTACCATAAATAAGCATCATTCCTCATCAGCAACTCTTTTCAACTACTCTAGTGATTTTCTGAGCTTCAACTCATCTGTAATTTGTGCAGAATAACAAATGAATCAAAGCTATTACGAGAATCAAAGGATTGGATGTGCACGCATGTCCTTTGTAAAATCTAATGTTGTCATCCAAATGCTAACTATTATCTTTTATTGACATTTAGCAGAACGATTACATTAAGAAACTTTAGCATGACTTTGTTCAGGCATGAACGTTTCAAATTCTTCATATGTGAAGATATAAAGCAATTATTAACTTCATTCCTGCAAAAAAATGAAATTAATTAGAATGGATTTGTGTTTTAAATGTTGATTTTGCATTAGTGCCATGATTAAGTCTGTTTAAACTCTGAGTCATACCTGCTCCAGAAATAATTAAGTAGGGATGAGGACCAACAGTAATATACTACTTCATATTTACAGACAGAGCATTTTAAGTTTTTAAAGAACATTTCCACATGTTTATTTTATGGGATTTTTATAAGCACAGGTTTGTAGGACAGCTGTTACCTTTCTTATACCACTGGTTATCAGATTTAGTAAACCAAATGGAGATTAGAACCCAATATTTGGTCCTGATGTAGTTACTGTTTGGTTCAGTCACCATAAAGGCTGTCACAGGTTCTAACTTTGCTAACAGAGCAAAGTTGGCTCCAATCCTTCAAATGGAACTGTGGAGAGCCAGCAGGGGGCAGAAAGCCTGGCCACTCTGACTAAAATTCTACTAGACTCTTCTTGCTTCTTGCTTAATTATCTTTAATTTCTCTTCAGTTTAATGACAGTTTTATCAGTTAGGTATTGTGTTTGGACACCGATAAGAGAAAACCTAAGGTAAGAGTGAGTTGACCAAGTAAAGGTTTATCTTTCTCCACTGTAAAAAGTTCAGGTGCCATAGTTGAGAGTCCTAGGAACTTGGTCCACTGTTTTGCTGCTCCTTCCTTCAGCCCTGGAAGACAGCAGTGGCAACTTTACCTTTATAGCTGACTTCTAGGCAGCAAGAAGGGGAAGGACAGAAGACACTCATGGTACACCAAAGGCACCCCACCACCACTACCATTTTCAAATAGTTGCCTAAGGAACCACACAGCTATTTCTACTTAAGCTGCTGGGTCAAGCTGTGTTAGGTGGCTATGAAGATAATTAAGCCAGTCTCCCCTGCTGCCATAGCAAAACCAGGGGTCTGAGTGACAGTAAGGGAGACAAGAGAGTGGGCGTTGGTTAAGTGACTATCAGACTGTCATAGCAATGTACATGCATTACCTTTGGACAGAGCTATTCTCTTTAAGGCTATGCACAGGGAAGATAGCCCTTCTCCCAATACCTTCCCTTTGCATTGTTCTGGGTACACTGTCTTTCTGTGTGCACAAAATGACCCTTTAAATGTCCCCCATTCCTTCAGATTGGAATGCTTTATCCTCATCACACTGATGCCATATCCCAGCTGGGTCAATAACTGTGGAAGATTAAAGAGCTCCCAGTTCTTTGAACTAGGGTAACAATTTGTGACAACTGCTGCAGAGTCTTGTTGAATGGCCTGGCTAACCACGTGGGTTTATTGTAGCTTCCAGGACTTAGTGCTGCAAGTGTCGGGTTGAATGCATCACCTTCCCAACCCTGCTCTCACTCAGTTTCATTTTGCCATTGACTTAGCCCACTTACAGACAAGCTGCCTTGTAGGTACCTAAGTAGGCTTCTAAGTGCATGCAGTATGAAACGCAGTCATAAAACACACAAATGGAGGTTTGCAGATAATTCCTCACCTGCGGTTTTGCTGCCCATGAGCAGACAGGAAAGCATGCAAAACTTCCGTGGAAGGCAGTCCACCGTCAGCATCCAGCTTTTATAATCATTGCTGCTCACAAGCCTCTGGTCTCATCCTGCTGTTTACAACCAATATTATCTTTGGAAACTACATGTCATTAGTAAAGGAATGTTTTTAATAGCTTTTTCATGACCTGTATTGTTTCTGTACCATTAAATAATTACCCGTAATTTTGTTTTCAAAAATTAAATAAAAATAAAAACAAAAAAATTCAAGCCAGGTATGGTAGTACATGCCTGTAATCCCAGAACTCAAAAGGCTGAGGCTGGAGACTAATTTGAGCCCAGGAGTTAGTGACCAGCCTGAGAAACAAAGCAAGACTTTGTCTTAAAATAAATAGGTAAAATAATCAATGAAAAGTGAAAGTTTTCAATGTTAGCTTTCTTCACAATCATGAAAAGGAGAGAACATGTTTCTGCTTTTTCTATTCTGTTTCCCTACTCTCATTTTGTTTTCCAAATGTCTTTGTGGATTTGTCCATTCCTTTTCATGCTGTGTTCAGTCACCTTGCCTCCCATACCACCATTATGCCATTTTAATAATGGTTACTGAACTTTTAACTAACCCTGCCTTCCCATGCTCCACCCTCACCCATCTACACAAACGCACACACACACACTCAGTCTAGCCACAGTGCTGACTTGCCTCCAGTGCTCTCCACCCCTATCCTGCCATATAACCTCTGTCCCAGCCTTAATAACAGCCTGAAGGGGGCTACCCAAAAGAATCCTTAGCAACTCCTTGATGAGAAACATACACTCCAGATCTTTTTTCCCCTTTTTTTAAAATTTAATATTTTTATTAGCTTATATTAGCTGTACAGGAAATTTCTTTGTGACATACATATATGTCACAATGCATCTTGGGTAGGTTAGCCCCCACCATCTCTCTCCCTTGTCCCCTTTCCCGTCTACTTAAAACCATTTCATCAGGTTTCATTGTTCTGGTTTCGTACAAGCGTATAAAATACAAGCCCCCTCCTTCACCCTCTCCATTCACCCTCCACATCACAGTAGACCCCTCCCCCAACAGGACCTGTTTCACCTTCCTGTCCTTCACTTGACCTAGAGGAGCAGAGGTCCTCTGAGGGGCCATTCTGTTCCAGCTCTTCTCTGAGTTAGCCCTTCCCTGATATCCCCTCCCTCCTTGGGTGGTTGTCTCAACTATTATAATAAGACACTACACTCACTGTACTGGTTTTTTCTTTCTTTCTTTTAGCGTCGAGAAGTGGCAAAAACCGTTTTCTGCTTGGTTGTCATTTTTGCTCTTTGCTGGTTCCCTCTTCATTTAAGCCGTATCTTGAAGAAAACTGTGTATGATGAGATGGACAAGAACCGTTGTGAATTACTTAGGTATGATTCCATGTACCCATTAGGAAATTGGAGTTTCTCTGCCTTTCCCATTTATAAACTTTTTACATCTATTTTACATTCTCATTAGCCCTGAAAATTAAAATTGCAACGTTGATCTTTTTTTAGCTGACACAGCCCATAACTCATGCCAAAATTTGTGCAAGCCATATGCCATATTGCTACTCTCCTCCTGAGGCTGTGCACAAGGTTTCTCTAACCAAGGGGTTAGTCTCTCTGTCTCCATACTGCAGACTGAGCCTGACACTTTGAACAAGCACTTTTTATAAAATTTCACACTGCAACCTATTAGATGTGACTTCTGGGCAAGAAAAATTCTTACCCTCAGGATAAACGCTATGGAGCAGATCTTAGACAATATGTTCTAATTATTCTACACTGTTTCCTTGTTCTAGTTTCTTGCTGCTCATGGATTACATCGGCATTAACTTGGCGACCATGAATTCATGTATAAACCCAATAGCTCTGTATTTTGTGAGCAAGAAATTCAAAAATTGTTTCCAGGTAAGACTGTTTTGCAAGCATTGGACAGCCAAATGAGTCTGTTAAGTAACCAAGGCACAGCCAATTCAAATTTTAATACTACTTTGATCAGCTATACTTCTTTTCATTAGCGAAGTGAAACTATATCCCATTACCTAGAGAAAAGGGTCAGACCGTCAGCCTCACAGAAGAGTAATATCAATTCAGACAACATATTCAGAGGTTAAAACTAAAAAGACTAACTTAATTACATCACAGTTTTACAGCTTCAGTGTGAGCTCCAGGCACACTGAACACATAAAACCAATTCACACCCTTACATTGCTTTAGACTTTAACCGCTGTATGAGCAAAACATAAACTGCTGTTAAGAAAGCTCTCACTAAATGCTTTTAAACAGTGCATTTAGCAATAGCCTCTTCAAGAAAAGTAACTGCTATTGCTCCAGGCATCTGTACTACCGTAATTACATTGGTAATCAGTTTTCTTCTGTTTTCAAACCTCCTTCCAGCTAAGACAGCTGTGCCCTGCAGGGGCTTCAAGCATGTCTTATTGCTGTGTCAGTTGCCCAACTTCTGCAGTGACTTTAGCATGGACCTAATGCAAGCTGGGTTTTGCTATCTTTGACTAGAATGTATGAGTTCCTGGTATCTAATGGGAAGACTAGCATGGAGGTCAAGGGTGTGAGCTCTGGAAGCAAACCACCTTGACTGACATCTTAGCGCTGCATGTGCTAATTGCCTAAACCGGGTCTAGTCGGTGACCACCCTGCTTCCTCAGTTTCCACAGTAGCTCTCTCAGAGTAGTTCAGTGGGCTACTAGATTTAACGCTCTGAAGACAGTAAGTGCTCAATGTGAGCTGATTATTGGTAGGGGTAGAACAGAGAAGGAAAATAGTAACTGCCCTCAGAGAACTTACAATCTAAAAGGAGACAGATGTATATTATTAATCAAAGAATCGTACAGATGGAGGAAACTTGGTATAGAAGTTTTCGCTGCCTTATTTTTGAGGTCTCCTTGAAAATGTTTATAAATCACAAGAGGTTGAGCCTAAAATGGATGGACTAACACACAGGTCATAGCTAAAACACTTTATATGCTGAAGTTGATATCTCTTGCTCATTAGAGAGGAATAGGAAATTGAGGTACAAAATCTTAGAGTTAAACACATTTTTTGATAGATTTCCCTAAAAAAGGTGGCAGATTTATCCAAGGGAAAGAGTCCTGTCTAGAGAGTCCTGGGTTCTAATTCAAGCTCTGCCTCTTATTACCCTTCCTACCTTCTCTATCCTCCTTCATAAAGGAGGGTAAATGGCACCTGCCACCCCAGGCTGTAGTGAGGAGCAGGCAAGGTACTTGATGCTGGAGAGCTTCACAGGGGGTGCACAAGGAAGAAAAGGCAAGGCCCTCCAGGTCCTTTCCCGCCCACACCTGCCCCATGCTGAGGGGAGCCCTCCCTCTGGCCACCACTGCCTTCTCTTCCTTCTGCACTTGGTGACTAGAAGCAGGAGCTCCCTTTTTGCCTTCCCCTGGAGGGACAGTCTGCCTTCTGCACAGGGATGACAGACTCCTACTCTACATTACTATTCAGGCCCACTGTTCTCCAACAGGCACAGACATTGGCCCCTTGTTGGTGGATCCCAAAGTCTCTGTGCTCTGCTGGTAGGCTGGCTCAGGCTATTTATAATCTGTTCTTTCTCCCAGTCATGCCTCTGTTGCTGCTGTCACCAGACCAGAAGCCTGATGACCTCGGTCCCCATGAACGGAACAAGCATCCAGTGGAAGAACCACGACCAAAACAACCACAACACAGAGAGGAGCAGCCACAAGGACAGCATTCACTAGCAATCTGTGCAAACAGGATCTGTATTCCTTCAAATCCTATGGGAGAAATTTCTCTGGTCCTTCCTCCTTAACTCAGTCTCACCCCAAGGAAAAAGCTCTCCAGATGCTTCCCAAGCAGCGCAGAGTGGACTGCTTTATATCCACAAAGGCAGGAATCTTACTTCTGTAATTGATCTAATTTACATATCCTGCAAGACCTGTGCAGAACTCAAAAAACGGTGGGAGCTGAGGGAGAATGGAGACTGCTAAGTGAAACCAAAGGGTGTTTGCTATGTTTGCATGAAAATCGTTTTCAACTGGCAGTTCTGTGAATGTCCTCTTGTGGTCATCACAAGAGTTTAGAGATTATGGCAAAATTCCCTGAATTTTTTGTTTTTTGGGGTTTTTTTCTCTTTCTTTAGCCAAACACAGCGTCAGTTTAAGATACCATTCTTTGAAAACTCATTCAGTGCCCGTGTTTTTTAACTGCATAATAGCTAGAAATGTTTATTCGAGCTTACTTACACATATTTTGTAAAACAAGAAAAAAGAAAGAAGGAAGGAAGAAAGAAAGAAAGAAAAAGAATATTCAGGTGAGAAATGAGACTAATGTTTCTTCTGTCACTACTTTTTTTATTTTTAAAACATGAATTCTAAAGCTGCAACAAATACAGGCACTTAAAGCACAGACCGATCACCACAGATAAAAATTTAATAGCTATCTAGCAAAGCTATTCGAACAATTGTTAAGAACCTGTATTTTCTTTTTAATGGTGTTTTGTTACAGGAGATCTTCAAGATATTTTTGTGTTAAATTCAAAATTACTTGGGAGCCAGGTCAGTGGCGCATGCCTGTAACCCCAGCGTTTGAGAGGTGGAGGCAGGAGGATCGCAAGTTTAAGGCCAGCCTGGGGTACACAGCAATACCCTATCTCAAGAAAATAATAATGATAACAATAATAATAATTGGATCAAATCATTCTATTTTTCACAAGCCCAATCTTTTCTTAATATGTTTTTAATTTAAAAACCACTTTCCAAAATTTAAAGTTAATCATTTAACTTTGCTTATCCAGGAAAGAACAAATATTTTTAGAGGATTTGGGAAATTTCATTGAGTTTTGTAATAGTAACATATGTATGTTAAATACATGTAACATATCCCCTTTTGTCCTTAATTTCTCCTAAAATGTTACCTACATATAAAGCTTTTTTGGTCCTTTTTCCAAATAGGAAATATAGTTTCAAAGTGGCCAAATAAGTTGATGTGTCATTGAAATATAGTTACTCCTACCATGAACCTTTGGTTCTCCACTCTGCTGGAACTCCAGTATTACCTAAATCCCCACCTCACCCCACTTCCCAAAGGTCATCATTTCAAAGGGCCCACAGTGATTTTGCTGGGCATTTTCCCAGATGTTTACAGACTGTGAGCACAGCAAAAAATCTTTTATTTCGTGTGTGTGTGTGTGTGTGTGTATATACATATATATAAACAATTGTAAATTTCTTTTAGCTGATTTTTCTGTGATTTTCACTATGGAATATATTTGTGTGTGTGATATATGCATGTGTGTGAAGATCCTTATGGATTTAATCTGATCTAGTCATAGCGCCCTGTGGTTGTGCCAAAGCACATAATCTGAGTGGATTCTAAGTGATTGTTCATCATAACAACCCACCTTGGTCAGTTTTCACACGTAAGAATCTCCTGCGTTCATAAATCTTGTGACCATGTTACTATTACAAAAGGAATATGGCAGGCACTGTGAAAAGACAAGAGCCATGGATCAACAATACAGAACTTTGTTCCGTTGGTTGATTTGACAAAACAGTATTTGGGGTCATAGTATTTCCAGTGCTGGAGCAAAAGTCATTACATTTTGAAGTACTGTATTGCTCTAACCTGATGACATTGACAAGTTGCCTGATGTTTCTTATCAAGCTTCCCCAGATAGTTTCCTGGTGATAAATTAGCTAAGCTAATTTGTTGGGTCATATTTTAGCACAGTCACACATAAAATATATCAGGTTCCAGTCACTTGAATTGCAAGGTTAAGAAATACTGCCCCTTTGTGTGTTAGTAGTCAAATCCCATCATGCCCCTGGGCCTTATGTGCTATGAGATAGCCTAGAACATAAGCCATAGAGCCACACCACTGACTTTAAATAATTGTCCTTTTTTACAATGCTTTGTTTCTTACATATAAAATGCATTTTACAAACTCAGAAAGTCATAGATTTCTGAATAACTACACAGGCTTCAGTGTGCATTTTGTTTATGGACTGATAAAGAGCTGTGGTTTACTAGTGGGAATATTTCCAATTTCTACCTTTACCACACCTTTCCAATAAGAAACTTTGTAGAAATGAGCCAGGAGCTAAGGCCCTGAGTTGGCAATGGCCCAAAAATATAAAATAAATGTTTACGGAAGATTTGCAAGTGTCTCTTCTTTTTATATAGTTAAAATGTTCACTACATGACGCCTAGCAACCAGGCAAGCAATTTCACTTTCACGTTCTTTCTAACTGCACTCTACCCTTCATTAATCTATTTTGTTGCACTGAACAATTAACTCTCCTTTATCTACATTTGCAGTAATTTATTGAGCATCTCTATTCACTGGGCATTCTTCTGGCTATTAAGGAGAGAGCAGTGAACAAACAGGGAAAGTCCCAGACTTGTGAGCTTGCAAACCAGAGCAAGAAGCTGGTAATAAACAATTACAGTCAATAAGCAATGTGCTAGGTGGATACCTGGAGGAAGACACTCATATATAACCAATTGCAATTTGACGTCTCCAGCTAGGTGGCCAAAAGACCACATGTCCAAACTTAGCTCCTGCTATCTTTCAGACCATGCCACCATAATGTTCCTCTGTCCAGCTAAATGCAGTCCCATCTTTCATTATTCAAGACAAAATCTTTCAATCTGTCTCCCACTCCTTTCTCTACAAGCAACACCTTAATGAATCCTGAGAGCACTGTCTTCAGAATATTCCCAAGACTGTCCCACTTCTCTGTCTCTATCTCTACCCGCCTGGTATGTGCACTCTTATCTCAAACAGGCTCCTAGCCAGCCTTCTTGTTTCCAGCCTTGTGCTCGGCCACACTCATTGGAGCATGTAGTCTCCCATAGTAGTAGGTTAAGCAAGGCTAACCCACATCCTCTGGGGATTTTCCTAATAAAGTACCAGGTGAGAAAGAGCCCTTTCCCCACTGTGGCAGTGCTGGAAGGTTGTCTGGGAGCTGCTGGCCACCATGGCTTAGGAATTATAAAGAAGACAATCTTTGTGTCATAAAAATGAGAAAGTTTAGGTCTCCAGTTCCACTTTTCCTTGATGGTCTCCCATGGCTTCTGTAACACAAGCCTTTCTAGGTAGAATTTACCTTTCTATCTATGCTAGTTAAATTCAATTTTCCATCTCTTACAAGGAACACATTCTAAGATGATCTCACCTGAGTTATCTTGGTTCATATTTTATTGCTGTGGTAGTTTTTAGAATAGTTTTAAATTTACAGAAAGATTGATCCAAAATGCAGAGCATTTCCATGTGTCTTCTTCCCTCCCCTCTCTACACACTTTCCCTTGTTATTTACATCTGGTATTAGTGTTATACATTTGTTATAGTTAATGAACCAACACCAAATTACCAAAGGCCATAGTTTACATTAGGGTTCACTCTGCTAAACACGCTATGAGTTTTGACAAATGTGTGATGTCATATACTCACCATCACTTCATTCAGGAGAGTTCCTTGACTTGAAAATGCCTGTGAATTACCATTCATCCCTCCCTCCCACTCTTGCTCCCCACCATTGATTTGTCTTTCCCTCAACATAACTATAGTGAGCACCCACCATATTACCTTGTACTAATTCCTGGGAATATGAAATCATATATACAAATAAATAAATGCCACAAGGTGCCTAGTGGTGACCCAGTAGATGTTGGCACTGGGGATGGTAATGACACAAAGGAAGGAGTAGTCTAAAGTCTTTCAGTTTCAGCTGTTGAACATCAGTGAACAAAGTGTAAGGCCCTTACATCTTACTACTCTTATTTAAGCATAAGTATTAAGTCACTTCCAGGAAAACAGCATAATAAAAAGCAAGATAGCATTGTCTCTACACTGTGAACTTTGGTTAAGTCAGGAAATATTATTTCCCATTCAAAAATAAACCTAACCTTGCTTAGCATGAGGAAAGCCCTGGTTTCCATCCCCAGAACTGCCAAATAAATAAGTAAATCCATCCAATACATTTAAAATTACTAAGATAAAGAAACTAACTGGAGGTTAGGTCCCAGAAATAGCCAAGACAAATGTGAATCTTTGACTAATCAATTTATTACCTCTATTGGTTTGGCTTTTTCTCAGTAATTTTTTATTAGGATATATTCATTGTACAGGGGGATTCATTGTGGCAGTTACAAATAGGCTTATATTCTACATTGGTTAGACCACCTCACCGTCTCTCCTCTGTTGTTTTTAATAGTACTGCTAGTCTGTGACATAGCATTGAACACTATCCACGTGTGGAGCAAAGAGAATGCACTACGGCTCTTCCCAGACCCCTCCAGGCTATGGTTCTGAGTCTTCCATTCAGTTATTTGTATAAAAAAAAAAAAGAAAATCTAACCCAGGACTGTCCTTAGTTCTTTTACTCCATACTTCAAAGAAGCAAAGTTACATCACAGCACAAGCCCACCATATGCTGTTGATTGCTTCTGAAATTCCAGTGGGGTCTTCACACTGAAAAGTCCCAGTGGATTTTAAAATAATCCTACATTTGGAAAAGCTTTGGTCATACTTTCCTCTATGTAGTAACAAAGACAACCCAGTGTCTATATTTGGTCAGGGCTGTTGCTCTTTGACTTTTTGTTTCTAAAACTGAAAGGAGAGAGGCTTCAGTTCCTAGAATCAGGAAATAATCAAGAACTGAAAAATAACATTTGCCACTGCAAAGCTGGGCTCCCCTCCCCCAACCCTCTGCAGGAACCATGCTATTATATCCACTTTTGATTTGATGAAGCCAGAGCTCGCAATATCTCTGAGTTTGCTAAGCATTTCGCACCAACATTATGCAAAAGAGTCTATACCTGTGTTTCTTCCTGGGAGGTAATAAATTAGGATCAGCAATGCTGACTCTAAGGATAAGCAAAAGAGTCATGGAATCTTCCTAGGGGAATACAGAGAATTCTACAGATTTTTCTTTTCTGGTCCTAAACACAGTCCTCTTATCTAGGTGATCTACACAGAACTGATTGTTGTTTATTTGAATTTGATTCTGTGAAGGTAGATACAATGGTATATCTGGTGTTGCAGGATAGATTTGTCCCAAATGGGAGTCATGACCTTGCCCAGTCTATGTGGTATCACTCTGTCAGCCAAGAAACAGGCCCAGGTACCTTGAGGGCACAACTCT